AAAGTATGTGTTCTACCCACTACTGCAATCTGACTCCCAAAGTATGTGTTCTACCCACTACTGCAATCTGACTCCCAAAGTATGTGTTCTACCCACTACTGCCAATCTGACTGCCATAGTATGTGTTCTACCCACCTGCTGCCAATCCGACTCCCATAGCATGTGTTTTACCCACCTGCCTGCCAATCCGACTCCCATAGTATGTTTTACCCACCTGCCCGCCAATCCGACTCCCATAGTATGTGTTTTACCCACCTGCCTGCCAATCCAACTCCCATAGTATATGTTTTACCCACCTACCTGCCAATCCGACTCCCATAGTATGTGTTCTACCCACCTGCCTGCCAATCCGACTCCCATAGTATGTGTTTTACCCACCTGCCTGCCAATCCGACTCCCATAGTACGTGTTCTACCCACCTACCTGCCAATCTGACTCCCATAGTATGTTTTACCCACCTGCCAATCCGACTCCCATAGTATGTGTTTTACCCACCTGCCTGCCAATCCGACTCCCATAGTACGTGTTATACCCATCTGCCTGCCAATCCGACTCCCATAGTATGTTTTACCCACCTGCCAATCCGACTCCCATAGTATGTGTTTTACCCACCTGCCTACCAATCCGACTCCCATAGTACGTGTTCTACCCACCTACCTGCCAATCCGACTCCCATAATATGCGTTTTACCCACCTGCCTGCCAATCCAAGTATGTTGTCCATCCAACTCCCCTTGCACTTGTATGTACATGCAAACAGGGCTTCAACTTTTGAGTGGCTAAAATTGATAAAAAAAATTGCTTGTGCACTATATAGGGAATAATATATCAGGAATATCAAAAGGCACCAACTTGGCAACTTAAACTTGTTGGGCATCAGAGCTCAGAGTTTACTGAGTAATACTAATCAACAAACTCTGAAACGACCTACCTGTTTGTTAAGCAAAATAGATGCATATTTTCAGTTGTTCATTTATAATTTCTCTGCATGGTCATAGGTCTTTATTTTATCCCTATTTGTTTTTTCAGTTCTCAACCAATGGCGTCCCCAGCTGGATACATACAGCCATCACCCAGTCAGACAACTCACCACATGTTAGTATCAATATATCACCCATAATACACATTGTTCACTGTCACTTTCTAGTAAAAAAAAAAACTTCATTTCCTCTGCTCATTTCATTAGTTTACATATATTTTAATTTCTTTGCCTTTTTAGTGTATGTCATCACTAACACATTCTGCATGCTGTCTTTATGTTTCTTAATTTTAAGATATAAGTTATGAATAAGTTATGACTAATGTTGGGTGCGAATTCCTTCTTTTCACCTATAGAGGGTAGTTCTTTTTTTGCAGGTCAGCTAATTTATTTCATCTGGAAGTAGAGAGAGCTGGACTGTTCATTGTTTTGGCAGATAAAACATTTAAAAACTTGTAAATTCGGTGATTTATTTGAAATATTGCTGCACAGTTTTGTTACGTCTTGTGCCAAAAAAATTGACTAGCATAATTTTTTCAAGGTGTTTCTTTAATTTTGAACCAAATGGGCAGTAGTTGTATATTATGTCCATATTCACATACTGTAAATGAATTAATTATTAAATGAATTTTAATTTTTATTAAATTAAATTCATGTGAAAATTTAAAATAACAACAAACTCGTTATTTCACTGGAAAATACATGAACTTAGAAAACAGTTCCTTTTGCAGCCCTCCCATACCCTCCAGCACTTCCCAATAAAATTTAATATGTCCCTCGTATAGTTGTACAGTAAACTAATAGTGTTGATGCATGATGTTTTAAATAGTGCACATTAGTACTAATCAAGCATTTCCTTATGCAGTTCACAACCCATGGCTTCTCCTGCTGGATACATGCAACCATCGCCCAGCCAACCACATCATATGTTAGTATTTTTTTGTTTATACCAAATTTTTGCATGATGTCAAAGGGGTTGCCTTGATAGTTATTGAGGTAGAGAATGAGAATGAGAATGAGAGGGGAAGAATGAATAAATAGAGAAAAGATGATGAGGGACAAAAGAGAATACAGCATAAGAGGGAAGGGGATAGTAAGTTAAAACTGACGTACAAGAAAAGTAAGTCGTTTGATTTGGGGGCTGTGAAAGTTAATTTTTTAATGTGTGCGTCAAAATCGTGATTAACTTCTGATTACTAAATCAGAAAGTGATACAAAACTAGGCAACAAACAAAGTGGAAATGTACAGAAAGATCTATCAAAATGCAAACTGATCTGCTATCAGGGTGTGTACTTTTCCAAATTTTGCATTAGGAAGCTTTTGTTTTGGAGGGGAGGGAGGAGTCAAAACAATTGTTCCGAATGAATTAATGTTTCTTATGCGTCAGTTATAAAGAGAGACTGCCCTTAACAATAGTGAGTTCACACAGCGCCACAAGTCAATAAATGACAGATCTGTTATAAATTGCAATCAATATGTGTGTAATGCTACAGTTTTATTGATGTATAAAAAGCAACAATGTCTAGCGTACAATGTGCTGTATGCAGAAAAAGTTTATATGTTAATTTCAGATTATCGTGTTTTTAATTAACTTCTTCAATGCTCTAACACTGGAACTTATGCATGTTAAACAATAACAGTTTTAAAGGGCAGTGGTCATCATGCCGTGCATGTGCGACATATTTGTCTTGATAAACATTGATTTTCCCACAATTCAATGCGCTCTTCTAATGGAAATACACGTATGAATTTTGACCTAGGCACGATGTTCACTGAGTACTGTCTATAACTCCCTCAATGCCTCCCAATCACTAAAAAATTACCTAGTTAAAGTTTGTACTTATTGGTCTGCGCAACAGTCCAAGTCGCCATCTTTGTTCATACAAGATCCATATCTCGTGCTTGTGTTGCATGACTACCACTGCCCTTTAACATGGCATAATATTATCTGGTAGTGTAGTAGACCCAGGCTCAAATTCTATCTATGGTTTCCCCACACCCCTGGATGAGTGTGCCACAGATTCAATGGGAAGGATAAATCCACTAGCCAAGATTCATTCACTAACTGAAACGACTTTGGATAAGATCCACTGTAGACTGGCCCAGTCATGACAATTTTATACGATAATTCTTTAAGGAACAAGTTTGTAAAATCTCTTGAGTTGATGTGAAATTTCCTCAACTGGTCTGTTCTGGCGCTTTTGATCTGATATACAACTATAACACACACGTGATCTGATGCATAGAATCATTTGTGCAATCACACGTCTACTTTAATTTTTTGGAAGTGTTCCAATACATCACTGCATATCATGAATAATTCATAGCAATAAATACACCTCAGAATAGAGCAGTAATGGTAATTTCACAACGGAAACATTAGTCTACGTCCACAGGTGCTCCTGATCGACCCAGCCTGACACCAGGATTAGCACATCTTTTGACAGGGAGATGTCCCCATACAGCCCTGTAATGTAGTCGCAAACATGAATATCATTTCATACACTTGCAATTGGAACATAAAAAAATCAGAAGAGACAAAAAAATAAAATCTGTTTGGGGCTGATAAAATGTTATAGATTACATGTACATGTATGTCACCAACAGTGAACATGTTCAAGATAATTTATGTATGATTTGAACACTTTTTTTCATCAAAACATAGCTGAAATAAAATAATGCTACTGAACACAAACTGTGTCACAAGCACAAATATTGTTTTTTCGCTTGTTTTTTATGTTTCACTATTATAACTGCAGTAGGAAAAAGATGTATAATATTAAGGTTACAAGAATATGGAAAAGTATGGCCTTGGGGCAGTCACATGAACTTCAACTTATGCATCAATATATACACTGCAATTACCATGCCTTCATAAATATTTTACATTATTTTTGTGATAAGCTCATAGTATTGCTTGCTAGATTATTTAACAATTTAATCCATTTGTGTTTGCTTCATTTTGATTTTACAGCTCACAGGCTATGCCATCTCCAGTTGGTTACATGCATCAACCCTCACCAAGCCAGCCACATCACATGTTAGTAACCTTACAATTAACATAACTAAGTTCATTTCCTGTTTGCATGCATTAATTACTAAATTGCTTTGACCTTGACTCATATTTTCCAGGGTTTCTTACATTGCGATGATTGATCCATAATTAATGTAAATAATTTCAAGAAAAACTGTGATATAAATCCTGTCTAATCTGAAGAGAATATAAATCAAAATACTTTTATTACTTTTTCCCCTTCACCATGAACTTGTTTATATACAATAAGACCTCTAAAAACAGTTCTCTTGTTAAATTTTCATTTAATTTTAAAACTTGAACAAAAGATACCCACTCTACAAAAACATGTCAATATTGTATTAAAATTCAATCATCTAAGCCTAAACAATGTGATAGTTAATATGCCACTAAAGTGGCTTGTCAAATATCACTACAATTATTCGCTGTAAGTAAGTTTTATATTTGCTATATTTGTTCATGAAGCTTGCAGTTTATGCACAGTGAAAGACAAATTACACTGTTGTTAATAATCCTCTGGCTGCTAACATGCAAATTCTATTGCTATAACTACTTTAAGTTTTGATGCAGGGGATGCTGTGTGCACAATACTAAAGCATTCATGCAAAACATATGACATAACACTGAGATGTAAAAGGTTGAATATAAACTGTCTCTGATCTGTAAAGTACCTGTATATATCTGAGTCCCCACACTGTCATGTGGCAGAATAACAAACACGTTAGGTTTACAGAGGAAACATTTTTTTCTGACAGTTCTCAGCAACTGCAGTCTCCTGCCAGTCATCTTCAGCCATCTCCGTCTCCACAACCACAATCACAGGGTAGTATGGTACCGTCTCCTGCACTTGGATCTTCAGCAGCAGGTTCAGTTAGAACTCCTGCTCCTGTCCAATCACCAGGGAGTGCTCTTAATACACCTGGTGAGTACAATTCTATTATTAGTCATTTGGATAATGGGACTTGTGGATTGACTTCCCAGTGTGTGTGTGTATGGATACATACGCATATACATTTATTTCACTGTCTGATTCAAGATAACCAAATGGCAGCCATTTTAATTTTAAAAGTCATCAAAATCAAGCACTTTTGCCATTCCAGAACCAGATATTGGTCATTTATGGACGGATTTCATTAAAACGTAGTACATACATTGGCCATTATTGGATTTGGGACACATCAATTTATTTTCAGATCAGATTAAAATTGCCCAGTTTTTGATGGTCCAATTCAAGATTACCAAATGTTAACTATACACATGCTGTTCTAGAGCCATACCTGTGAGATTCCTTGACTGATTGCAATTAAACAACTGTTATACATCATCACACACGTATTAACATACAATTGTGTCAAGTTCTGATTCAAAATGGCTGACTTATTTCAGTTTTGTTTGCTATTGAACTCTGCCTTGTAAGTCCATGACAGTCCTGCAGTTGTGTATCAATGGAAACACTATATTTATAACCCGTATAACTCATTCAACGTTCTTCAAATCTTTAGATATTCTTTATTCATTGTTTAACCTTTTCACCACTAGACTTTCTCATCCAAATTTTTGTGTACTTTTTTCTTATATTCTTCAATAATACCCAAAATTTGAGTCAATTTTCAGTTTTACTCAAAAAGATTTATTGGCTATTTTTGTCCCAATCTTCTGAAGGAAAGTGCAGACAAAAATGGAACTATTTTGTGATGAAAAGAGGGAACTGGTGGTGAGAAGGTTAATTAAATGTATTGAACATTGATTGATACCAATGATTTCAAGGATTGATAAATGTTTCTTGGGACTGTAGGTCAATGTGTAAATACATGTCTTGTATTCTCAATAATTTTTTATTGCTGGGAATAAATTTATTGACACTGATTTGAAATACTGGCATTTACTTACATATGACTGCACTGTAATTTTAATAAGCTATTGTGTGTAGTCCATTGCTGTAACCTCACTGCACATTTGTTGCTGGTATTAATACGCCTTGCTGTCACATTTCAATGCAGGACTATCAAGCTTATTATCATGTAAGTGTGTGCTTACAATATCTAATGCTGTACTAGCTCTAGCTGTAATCAATCCTTACAAAACTAATCAGACATATTGCTTTATGTGCACTATTGGTAAAGTGTACTTACCAAATATGGGCTAAATATGTCATATAGTAACATGTGTACTTACCAAATATGGGCTAAATATGTCATATAGTAACATGTGTACTTACCAAATATGGGCTAAATATGTCATATAGTAACATGTGTACTTACCAAATATTATCATATTTTAATACAATGCAATAAATGCAATTTTTTGTTTATATGTGCTTTTTCTTAGAGATGCGCTTCTAAACTAGTAAAAATCAAATGATAGAAATGTTGTACACCAAATGATTTTTAGTCTCGCTGTTTATCATTAAATTAAGACTTTCATGTCCTATGTGGTATCCATAGTGATGATTAGTTAATAATGCCTCTATCAGATGTGAATTTTGTAATGATGTGAGCTCATGTGTTTTGTGAAATACAATAGAGGTGCGTCGTATATAGACAATGACGTTAAAAATATTTGCAACACAAAACGAGCAAATTTGAGTCAATTTTCAGTTTTTATTAGCTTCGCTGTTGACTTTGTCGAGCGGAGCTTATCATATGAGTGATTGTCCGTCGTCGTCCGTGTCAATGTTTTACTTTTTCGACTTCTTCTTGAAAACTACAAGCCTGAATGCTTTGATACTTTGTGTATATGTACCTTGGGTAGACCTCTCTTTGTTTGTTCATTTCATGTTGATATCTTCAATTCTCTAATTTTGGTGAATATTTTTGTCATTTTTGGTAAAAAGTGATATTTTCGACTAATTGTTAAAAACTGTAAATCCGATTGCTTTGATATTACATATATAGGTACTACATGTGGACCTCTCTCAGATTTGTTCATTTCGTGATGATATCTTCAATTCTCTAATTTTGGTGAATATTTTTGTCATTTTTGGTAGAAAGTGATATTTTCGACTTCCTGTTTAAAACTGTAAGTCCGATTGCTTTGATACTATACATATTGTTCATTTTCTAATGATGTCTTCAGTTCTTTAATTGAAATGTGCATTGCTAACAGCGGAGCTATCTCAGCCGATAGGCTGCTTATTCTAAAAATTTAAACAAATATGGAAAAAATTATGCACGTTTTTTTTGTTTTAATTGTGACAAAAATTGTCGTTGGTGTTCAAAGGGATAATTTTACATCTATATTTCCATGGCAACCACCTTCCAACTAAGCTAACACCATTGTTGTGTTGGCATTACCTGAAATGTAATTATTGATTTTAATTTAAAGATATAAAGAAATAAATAGCAGTGTGCTTGTATTTCATGAAACATTACTACAACCCTGCTTGGGATATTGTTCGTTTAGCCACGAAAACAAAACAGTGTTTTCGTGATAAATAAAATCATAGATAACATCATTAGTTTTGTTCATTGAAGTCTAAAAACGAAGACTTTGACTTCGTCCATGCATTGGTCGGCATCTGTATCTCGGCTATTCATGATCTGATCACATGTAAATTTACACATACATTATACATCTTGGAATACATGTATGCACATACATTTGTCTTGTGATCCAATTCAAGATAGCCAAATTGCAATCAAATTTAGTCATTAAAATCAAACACTTTAAATTTGCTATTCAGGAACCAGATCTAATTGCGAACTGACGGAATTCATTCAAACTTGGGGTAGGCTACTTTATTTTGCAGATCAGGTTTAAAATTAAAATTTTCATTCAAATATACGGCCGCTGGTTTACGGATGGTCTTTGGTGTACATGCCTCCAACTACCTATCCAAATTATGTTCAGCAGCCAATCAGAGCTTGTGTTACAGGTTGCTTACTTGAATGACATAGATTTTTTTTAGTAAAATGTGCACTAATTGGTTGAAAAATCCTCTCAGAAGAAAGCTGTCAAATAAGTTGTTGGTCACAAGTAGTTGAAAGCATGTGTACCAGCTGCCGTAAACTGATGATCGTAGATTAAAAGCAAGCAAACAAACAACAACTTCCATCAGATTGGATGAGGATTTCAAAACAAATTTTGGCTAAAAATGTTTGGATTTTGGGGTCATGAATAAGTACTGCGATTTCCCAATGAAATGAGGAATAATATGATGATAATATGTTCCATCGTGATTATTCAAATATATTCTAATTTGATTTGTAGAAGGATTGATTTATTCTATAGCTAGATCAGCATTTATTTCATAATAGTTTTTATTTATTTTTTTAAGCTGCCTTGCTGCTTGTATTGTATGCACCACTAGACAATAGCTGCAGTGCCCATAGCTATCATTGTGCATGCAAGATATTATGCTCTGCATGTGGGAGGGGGGAGGGGGTGTCCCTAGTGCAATTCAATGTAAGCTATGCATGCATGGGCATTATACCTAAAGCAGGAGTGTTCTGTGTTTTGTTTCATGTCATAGTTTGGAAATGTAACTGGTATTATTACTGACATGAATTCTGAACAACACAATAAAAGGGATGTTTTTCATCCACCTAATTCTATAATTTTTATGTGATATTTCCCAAACTTGGATGACACAAAACATTAAATTAAACACTTTTGCTTTCTGGTAAATAATTGGTTTAGTTAAACAATTATACATTATCGGTACTCTGGTTCTCCGGATTTCTATAGGACCAAT